AGTAGTAACAGTAGTATATTTTATAAAAGCAGTATATAGTGAAAACAGATAGTAGTAGTAGTAACAGCGTATAGTAGTGTAACAGCAGTATATTTGAAACGCGTAGTATAGTAACAGCAAGTAGTAACAGCATAGTAGTAGTAGTAACAGAGTAGTATCTAGAAACAGTAATAGTAGTAGTAGTAGAACGCAGCAGTAGTAGTATAGTAACAGTAGTAGTATAGTTTAACGAGTAGTAGTATGGGGGTGGTAGAACAGCAGTAGTATAACAGTAGTGCAGTAGTAGTAGGGGGGGTGGTTAACAAGTATAGTAGTAACAGTAACAGTAGTACATATAGTTGTGGTGGGGTGTAAAAGCAGAAGTAGTAGTAGTAGTAAAAGACGGGTGGGGTAGTAAACGTAGTAGTAATTAACAGTAGTAGCAGTAGTTGTAGTGGGGTGGTATAACGCAGTAGTAGTAACAGTAGTAGCAGTAGTATGGTGGTGGGGTAGTAACAGTAGTATAGTAGTATAACAGTAGTAGCAGTAGTAGAGGGGGGTGGTAGTAACAGCGTATAGTAGTAGTAAAGTAGTGCAGTAGTATAGGGGTGGTGGTAGTAACAGAAGTGTTTAGTAACAGAGTAGCATAGTAGTCTGGTGGTGGTGTAACAATAGTAAAAAATAGTAACAGTAGTAGCGTATATAGTGGTGGTGGTAGTAACAGTGTAGTAGTATAGTAGTAACGTATAGCTAGAGTGTGGGGGTGGTAAGTAACAGTAGTAGTAGTAGTAGTAACGTAGTAGCATATAGTAGTGGGGTGGGTAACAGCAGTAGTACAGTATAACAGTAGTAGCAGAGTAGTATGGTGGGGGTATAACAGTGTAGTAGTAGTAGTAACAGTAGTAGCGTAGTAGTAATGGGTGGTAAAGAAACAGTAAAATTTAGTATAACATAGTAGCAGTAGTAGTAGTGGGGGGTAGAACACATAGTAGTAGTAGTAACAGTAGTAGCAGTAGTAGTAGGGGTGGTGGTAGTAACAGCAGTAGTAGTTATAAATTTAGAGTATAGTATGGTGGTGGTAGTAACACATATTATAGTAGAAAACTAGTACATGTAGTAGTGTGGTAAACAGAGTAGTGTATATAACATATGCATAGAGTAGTGGTGGGGGTAGTAACAGCAGTAGTATAGAGTAACAGTGTACAGTAGTAGAGTGGTGGTGGTAGTAACGCAGTTACAGTAGTAACAGTAGTACAGTAGATATGGTGGGGTAGTAACATATGTAGTAGTAGAAAACAGAAAGTAGCAGTAGTAGAGTGGGGTGAAAGTAACGTATAGAGTAGTAGTAACAGTAGTGCAGTAGTTATGGTGGTGGTTAACATAGTAGTGTAGTAGAAACAGTAGTGAGTGGTGGTGGTAGTAACCAGTAGCAATTATTTATTATTATTATTTTAAATATTTTTAAATTTTATTATTATTTTTATTATTATCATTACATCAATCTCATCATCATCTCAAATCATAGAGGACTGTATAAAAAATGCCTGGGGTAGCATCACTACTAAACGTTACATTACAACCAATGTCCCAACTTCTCTTAAAAACCCAAAATACCAACCAGAAAAAAACCCCTTTAAATATTTACGGAGTAACTCTAAAAAAATGTTTCAGCGTCAAAATTTTTGTATTTCGTCTAAACAAAGTTACATTTATGTTAACCTTAAACAAACAGATAACTAAAAACAAGCCACAAGTATATATACAATGTGAAGTGTAATTTCTCAGCTATATTGCTCAGTTTAAATTTTAAACCCCCTTTTTTTGGTATTTAAAGTTTTCTTGCCCGGTGGTAAAACATATATGTGCACCTTAATGACCCTCGGTGGTACTAGACTTTAAACCCAGTTTTTACCAATCACTGGATCCCCTTTAAGAAAATTAAAGTTCTAGGGGATTTCTCCGGTCCTCAATAGGCCACTCTCTCTCCTTGAATTTTTTCATCCTTTCTTAACATTATATTATATATATATATATATATATATAATTATATATATATATATATTTAATATATATATTTTTAATATAAATATATATATATATATATATTTTTATTTATTTATTTATTTTTTTTTTATTTATTTATTTTTTTATTTATTTATTTATGTATTTTTTTTATCCTCGACAGGCCAAAGACTAGAAACAAAAAGAAGCAGTGAATAATACAGACTTTGCAAAAAGGGCCCTTTGACAAGTGGACCATGGCTAAAAGGCACAAAATGCGCGTAAAGGAAAACAGGAAAAAAAGTCGGTCGATGGTCATAATTTCCTCACTAACGAACACAGAGAGAGTCGTCAACAGGTAAAGTCCCCAGGGGCTACGGTGAAAAGCTCTGTTTTCCCAAACACAGTACTAGCTCCCTCTTGTTCCTCACCTTTTTTCCCTGCTTTTTCGCCCCGCCCTTTTTTTCCTTTCAATCCCCTCTTCTTCTTCCTTTTTCCCCTCAAACTTTTCCCCCTCCCAAATCTTTCAGTGGGCTGCAAAAAATTGGGTTTCCTAAAAATTTCTTCTCGTTGGTAAACTGAGGTTTCTTCATCGGTACCAAAACCGGCCACAAAATAAGCAAACACCAACGTCCCTGGGAGTATTAAAGCGGGGATTACCCTTCAAGGACCAAAACTTTTCTGCCTTTCGAAAACAATGGTAATGAGAATTCAAAATAGGGAGGAACCCTGAGAATCTTCATAAGTTCAAAACAAATTCTGGCCCCTTTAACAAACACCTTTTAAGGGGTGAAATTTCCACCTAAAAATCAAAATTTCACGGGGCCGCATAACGGAGATAAAAACCTCAAAATGGGAGCGCTGAGGTTCCCAAACCCCGATTCCCTAAAACCAGGAGGGGGAAAGATAAGATTTAACCCAAAAGGAAAAAACCCCAAGGGGCGTTGAATTTCACCGAAAAAAATAACGAAAGCAAAAGATTGGCAGAAAAGAGACCATCCCCCCCTTTAAAAAAAATCACTAGCAGTTAAGAGACCATCAATAAGTGTCAGGGGCCCGAGAAAAATGTTCACGCCTCCCAGCACACATAAGGGGGATTACCAAAGACCCCCGGCAGTCTTCAACGGGATGGCAAACACCTAAAGTCAGTTCCTGATCAGCCGGGCTGTGGTCGTACGTTGGTTTTCGTGCGCCCCGAACGCCTGGGTTTATCAGGCGCGATCCACCCGGAGCCTGGGCACAGACCCGGGCCCCGGGGGGTTGCCCCCAAACTCTCTCCAGGGGAAAATCCAGGGAAAAGAAAATTTGTGGTATATACGAAAAACCCCAAAAAAAACTTTAAATTTTCGTTAGGTGTTAGCCTGGGAAAAAAAATAGTATAAAATAAAAAAATAAACAGTATAAAAGTGATATTTTTTAAAACAATGTTGAAAAGTCCAAAGTGTGGGCGAACGTTGTCAATAAAGGCTCACATTATACCACTTAGTGTTTATTTATGTAGGTGTGTAGCCCGGAGATTTTAGGCAGGTAGTGTTAGTAAACAAGTTTTGGCGGGTGTGTGGAAGGTGTTGTGGATACAAAAACTGTAAACTAACAATGCACGGTCCGCAGGTGATTCAAGATGCCCCCAAGAGCCTGCCCCTTCCCGGGCACCTTCTGCCCCCGCTAAGGTTATATAGGAAGAACATGTTGTTCTGGCGTCAGAAGGAGGCCAAAAAGGCTGTGTATGGTAGGTGGTGAAAGTCTCCACCGTTGGCACTTCAGGGTTTTGTTTTTTGAATAACGGCATCGTTAATTTGTGTATCCAAAAAACGGATTTTGGGCTTCTTTTCCGAGTATAGTCAGGGTTTTCATAAAAATTTGGTAGCAATAAAAGGGTTTTTAAAAAAAAAAAGGGAGGTTTTTATTAGACATTAAAACCCTTTTACCTAAATTCCTCAAACCCCCCCCACCCTTTTTTGGGACTAGTTTTCCAAAATAATAGGATTTTTGGAAATCGCCCTCAACTATCTTCCCCTTTTTTCCCCAACCCCCCTTTTTTTCCACGATTTTTTTTAATAAAAAAAATTTTTATTAAAAACTGAAAATCCCCCCCCCCCCCGGGGGAAGCCCCGGCAAATTCCCCAATAAAAATTTTTGGGTTCTTTTTTTTGGTGGGGCCCAGATGAGAAAGAGGGGATTGATATTGCCCCACATCGGTGTCCCTGTTATGAGTAAAGGTCCGGGGGTTAGGTGTTTGGGTTCATTCTAAGAGGGATTGAAGACACCCGGGGAAATTTAAAGGACTATACTCCCTTTTTTTCCTCGGAAACCTCCCAAAATTTCCCACAAAAAATTACCGAATAATCCAATTTCTTTTTAATTGGTAAAAACCCTTAACCCATAAATTACAAAACTAATCCTTTACTAATAAAATTTTTCTGTTTTGGAAATTGTTTTTGGGGAATGCAATTTAATAAAATGTAATTTGTGTACTAAAGTTACCTTTGATTTCCGTTTTGGTTTTGGTTTTCATCCCCAAAATAACAAATCCATTCTAACCCCCTTTCTTTATATTTTTTTAAAATTTATTATAAGTTATTAGATATGAAAGTATGGGGTGGGGGCGGTGTTGGGTGAACTTCAGCCAGTGACAATCTCAATCTCTCATTTTTATTATTATTATTTTTGTGGGGCTGAAAAAATCAGTAAAATAATTTCCATGAGGGGGTTTTCCCGTGTAAGGATATGTTCGGTAATCGTGAATGCGATGGATTCGTTTGGGAATTTTTTTCAAAAATATGTACCTTAATGTGTTTTTTGATTACTAACCCTCCATGTTAATAATTCACACAAAACTTTTTTTCTTTATACATAACCTTATTATATGTTCCTTAACCATGGAAACCGATTTTTTTCATTCCCAGGGGTATGACCCTGCAAATCTAGCCATTCATCAATTTTAATATCTTAGTTTTTAAAAAAGTTCTTTATTTACCCCCAACACTTAAACCAAAAATAAACAAAAACTTTTTTTTCAGACGCACATTAAATCTCTTATACTCCGGTGCTAAAAATTTAATGAATAACAATGCAGTGGAAAAGATGGATGCCACCCCTAATGTTCAGGCAAAGACCAGCAGTCACAGCACCCTCCACCAGATGGTTTTTACCCAAAACTGGAAATCTTGCTGACCAAAACCTATATCACAGGTTAGAAAGTAGAAGTTCATTCCCAAATGCTTCATCATGGTCATTTGTATTATGAGGAAAAATATTAAGATTCTTTACCAAAAACAAAATTTATAAAATTATTTTTATTTATTTTTTTTAACACATCAGCCCCTCCCCCAAAGGGAGGGTGGGGCCCCAAAAAAAAAAAATTTCATCATAATTTACTCCCTCACTGCTTGCTAGGGGTTGCTTTAGCTTCAGTTTTAAAAAAGCAAAATTAAAACCCCCCCCTTCAGGTGTTGACAATGTACTTCCTACTCCAGGACTCAAGTCCAGCCGCCAGTTTCCCCCGAATCCCTTCATAAATGTTTTCTTTTCTTACACTCCAAACAGTCAAATTTAAAAAAAAATTTTTTTCCATTCACTCCCATCAAATACGCTCTGCACCTTGTGAAGTCCAAGTCTCTCACACACAAAACCCCCCTTTAAAACCCCCCGGGAAACCAAACCCCCCCCCCCAACAAAAAACCCCAACACCCCACTTAAAAACCCAACAACCCCCCCCCCCTTAAAAAACCCCACACCTCCCCAACCCAAAAAAAAAATAAAAAAACCCCCAAACATTCCCCAGAAAAAATTTTCCCCCAAAAAAAAAAAAAAAAAAAAAAAACCCCCCTAAACCCAAAAAAAAAAACAACCCCAACTTCCCCCCTTTTTTTATGTGGTTTTTTCCCCCCCGCCTCTCCCCCCAGTTTTTTTCAATTGAACATTCTTTTTTTCCCCCTTCCCACTGTTTCCAAATCAAAAAAAACCCCCTCCCTTTCCCCCTCTGATAATTTTTTTTTTTAATTTTTTTTTCCCACCTCTTTTCCAACACTTTTCTTCCTCTTTTTTATTCACAAACCAAAACCCTTGCCCCGGCAAAAACAATTTAAACTTTCCCCTTTTTCTTCCTTTTCCCCCCTCCTTTTTCCCCACCCCCAACACTTCCTACACCTCAAACCTTGGTATACAATCCCTTTTTCCCCCTTTTTTTGGGAAAAAACCCCTTTGCCACAACCTAACCAACCGTTTCCCCCCGTAAAAAATTTAAGTTTTTAAAACCCCCTCCATTCCACCATTTGCAACTTCCCTTTCCCCTATCCCCATTTTTTTCCCCCTTTTTAAATACTTTTTTTCAAAATTTTTGATATTGTTCTTAAAAAATCCCTTTTGTTTCTATCACCTAAATTTTTTTTATTAATTAAAAATTCTTCTTTATTCTTTTTAAAAAAATCATTTTAACAATTTGTTTTTTCAAAATTTTATAAAAAAACCAATGTACATAATATTTTTACTATTTATACTGATTAGTTATCTTGGATTCCTAATATTTATAGTCTTCAACATGATTAAAATTTGGCCTTACAACAGTAGGGTTTTAAAATCTACTCAGATCTTAAATCTTGTAGCATCATTGTTAAACACCAGTAATTCTATCCAAAACAGAGATTGGCAGCCAAACCAGAGGCCACTACCTCGTGCATTACGTGCCGAACTGTAACGTCTCTTATACGGCCACCTTGTAACTACTGTGAATGCGAGCTTTGCGACTCGTGTGCAAGAGTCTGTCATTTCTGCGGAGGAAGCTTCTGCCAAAAATGCTCTCTTACTGTGTAAGCTGTTCACCTTGGTTATTTTATAACTCTATTCCTTACCTTCTCCATTATGACTTTTGAAGTTAAAACAGGAGCACCAGCAGTATACTACTATTTAACACCACTTATTGTCCTTTAGCACAGCCTCTCCTCACTTAGCAACGTACTAGTTTACCGACAACTTGGACTTATGACGGGTTCCCTGACCAGTATGCATACCTAAATAATGTATATTAGAGCTGATTTTCTCCATTCTGTTTATAATGCAGCGTCTCCTCACTTAGCAACGTACTTGTTTATTGACGACTCGGACTCACGATGGGCTCTGATCAGTGTGCATACCTAAATAATGTATATAAGAACTGATTTACTCTATTCTGTTTATTACAATGTACAGTAAACTGCTGTATAAACATTTAAAAATATACCAGAAATGTTATAAATGGTGCAAAGGTGACATTAAAACAATATCAAAGATGGTTGACACAAACCCACCGCCATTATAGTATGCTCCTCACTTAGCAACAAATTTGTTTACTGGCATGGTCTTAGGAACAGAACTCCATCATTGAGTGAGGAGAGGCTGTACAGTATTTCAGTTTGCCTGGTAAAAATGTGAATTTTAAGGATAAAAATTATTTGTGTAAATAGTAAAATACTTTTTTTTTTTTCTTTCAGGTATCTTCAAGATGAAAAAACTGTATGTTTAAGTTGCTGTTAAATATTAACATTTCCTTTTAAAAAACTGTGTACAGTGGTACCTCGAGTTCTGAACAGCTCCCTCCCAACTCGAACAATTGTGTAAGTGTATTTTTGTAAGTGCTTTTGTAAGTGTATTTTTGGGGCTCTGAAACGGACTAATCTAATTTACATTATTCCTTATGGGAACAAATTCGTTTGATATCAGCACTCGAACAGCCTTCTGGAACGAATTAAGTTTGTAACTCGAGGTACCACTGTATTTAGGTAAAAAATCTAAGGCATTACAGTACAGTGTACTGTAATGCCTTTTTAATAATTTGTACCTGGTTTTACCTTGATTAGGCTGTACAGTAATATGTACCTGAACTAGTAAATGATTATCTGATAAATTAGAAAAAGATGTCTTTTTGTTTTATTCTTATATAAGCTGTAGAAAGGTTGCTTAGTACTAAATTCCAAGCCATTTAAGATTGTATGGATAATATTGTAAAAAAAAATTTGATTTACAGTATATTTGAATGCTGAATGTACAGCACTGTCTACTGTATATATAATACTGTGTGACTGACATTTTGTAATATTGCATATACAGTGGGAAGCTAATATGGTTACAAATAGATAAAAAATTATTACAGTATGTAATCCTTCCATTTTTATTTTTAACATTCTTGCAACAGTTTGTGAGTGTTAAGACCTTTATAGTGTTTGTAGTACATGCTAAAAATTACCCTAATTAGCGATAAATAATTTCTGTATAGTATTGCTATTTTTCAAGTGACAATTGACAGTTCTTGCTGATAATGACATTGTACCTCAGTGATGAGGGAAGCTGCACTTTAGGGACTGCTGCAAGAGTAAAACTTTTAAAGTTGTTAATATATTTTGATGGTGAAAGAGTTTCTTTTTCGGGTCACTCTGCCTCAGTGGGAGACGGCCAGTGTATTAAAAAAAATTCTTAAATAGTTGATCTTATGTTTGTAATACAATCTTCCATATTTGTGAGTTTAGGTTTTATACATCAATTTGCCATTAAACTTTATAATGTACTGCTTCATCAGGTCTTGTAATGCATTCACAAGTTTACAGGTTGTCCTATGATAACTTCATAAGCTTTTATTTTGCCATATATGAAAGTGTTGAATGATGAAAGTTTTTTTCTTTCTTTTTGGGTCACCCATCTCGGTGGGAAACAACCAATGTGTTAAAAAAAAAATCACACAAAATACTAGGGATATAAAGCATTTAAAAACAATCTGAGAATAGGGGCTAAAATTATATTTGTACACAAGTGCTAAACTCAAAGGAGTCAGTCAGAACACAAGATAAAATTCAAATATCATAACAAATTTGGTTTACAATCACACCAAAGGTTAAAACAACAGCTGTAACTAAATGCTGACTTTTCTTGTATAAAATCAGACTAATAAATGCACTTACGAAAAAGTATACACAGAACATTACTCTTCTGATAACTTATTCAATAAAAGGTCATTATATAACAGATGTAAGTAATGGACTTATCCTCCCCTTCCTTGGATCGAACCTGAATGATTCTTAACCCTTAAACAGTCCAACCAGATTGACGTTCAAATTCGTAGTGCTACAAAAGTAGATCTACTTTTTTTTACATATTTTCAAATATAACAAAAAAAAAATGTAGATAAAAGTTTTTTTACACGTTTTCACATGTAAAACAAAAAAAAAAAGATTACATTTTTTTACATACTTTCAGATCTTGAAAAAACGTATATATACGTTTGGACCATTTAAGGGTTAATCCACAGGCACTATATGACTCCCTACGGTTTATAGTAAGAATGTGATGAGGAACACTGCAGCAGGCCTAGTGGCCTTTACTAGGCAAGTCCTTCCACTTGATAGTGACGTCTATATTCATTACCTTTCAGTATATTACATTCATGGGAAGTGCTAAACCCATAAGGGTCATACAGTACCTGAGGCATCACGGGTAATCAGGTCTGATTGGGGTTTCCATTGATCTACAGGATTTCCATTATACTAATACATTATTTTTATGTCTTTCTTTCTTTCAACACACTGGCCGTATCCCACCAAGGCAGGGTGGCCTAAAAAGAAAAACAAAAGTTTCTCTTTTGAAATTAAGTAATTTATACGGGAGAAGGGGTTACTAGCCCCTTGCTCCCGGCATTTTAGTCGCCTCTTACAACACGCATGGCTTACGGAGGAAGAATTCTGTTCCACTTCCCCATGGAGATAAGAGGAAATAAACAAGAATAAGAAGTAGAAAGAAAACAGAAGAAAACCCAGAGGGGTGTGTATGTATATGCTTGTACATGTATATTGTATATTGGCAGTTTGGAGGGATATGTTGTGTATCTTTATATGTGTATGCTTCTAAACTGTTGTATTCTGAGCACCTCTGCAAAAACAGTGATAATGTGCGAGTGTGGTGAAAGTGTTGAATGATGATGAAAGTATTTTCTTTTTGGGGATTTTCTTTCTTTTTTGGGTCACCCTGCCTCGGTGGGAGACAGCCGACTTGTTGAAAAAAAAACAAAAAAAAACATGTATGTGTAGTGTGACCTAAGTGTAAGTAGAAGTAGCAAGACGTACCTGAAATCTTGTATGTTCGTGAGACAGAAAAAAGGACACCAGCAATCTTACCATCATGTAAAACAATTACAGGCTTTCGTTTTACACTCACTTGGCAGGACGGTAGTACCTCCCTGGGCGGTTGCTGTCTACCAACCTACTACCCAGGATTATTTTTATGTATCTTAAAGTAATCTGGAAAATGTTTCGGGTGTCTGCTGTTACATGCATATTTACAATCTGGCATTAGTTTTCACATTTCCATCAAGCACCAATTACTGGTCATTGTTTAGGTGACAATTTACACCATCTAGGTCTGATACTATACTACATGTTCCCAAGCATCAGCATTTACACTTGTAGACATTTACTACACTATACCTCTCAGACATTATTAAAAAAAAAAAAAAAAAAAAAAAAGTATAAGATAGATCATATGATATAAAACTACATTTAATGATGATGGTAAAGAGTAAAGCCTTGACAGCTCCAGTCAGCTGCTGAACTCGGTTTGACAGATTTCATTAACTCTCTGTATGGAGTATGACAGTAAAATCAATTCTACAAGATGGGTGTTAGGTAAATATATTTAACTCTTGCTCTAACATAATCAACACACACATGTAGGTAAGTATAGCTGCACAGCATAAATATATCCAATTTTGTTTTAGAATTTTTATAATAAAAGGAATAACCATAGTATTTTTTACATATAGTACAAAAATACAAAATAATGCCATATAACAGTATTTTTACTATTATTAAATTATATCCTTCAGGTATAATTGGAATAAATATTTAAATTACAGATGTAAGAACAATAATGATTTTTTTTTAAATTCTAGCTGTATATTATAACTATCATAATTTTCAATACTGCTTATGAAGTTACCCAAGCATACTTCATAATAAGCTTCTGGCAAACTATAAACATTAACAAAATATGCAAGCAAAGTGCTGAATAAAAGATCAGCTGTGAAGTATTACTTTGAAACCATATGCTACATAGCCCAAGTGAAATTGTTACCATACCAGCTGTATAAGTTACCATACCAAACAGTCCATGATTGGCTTTCACAGTCTTAACATGCATGATACTTTTCAGGAGCTTTGGGTACTTAGCAAATACTCCAACACTCAGCTGGAGCCACAGTAGTGTAGATGCTGCAAGTCCTATGCACCCATGCCAGGATACATAATGAGGTTTACTGGCAAGCTCTTTGTTGTAGTATATGGCCGCAAAGCCGAGACCATGTGCAGCTGCTGTCAGTGATATTACTATCCAGTGAGCAGTTATCTTTGCACTATGAAGTTTTCCATCTGCTAGCCCAAACTTGGAGAACATAAATATTGCTTCTGTCATCAGACCTGTAAACTAAATATCACATTTCATTACATAATTTAAATATTTGGAAGAGTAGCTGGTTTGTAAATAGTATTGAAAAAAAGTGTGTAATTAAGACAGCTGCATTATGTCATCCTGTATTCTATTATTTATGCATGGTATAGTAAATGGTATAGTAAATGTAGAAATATTTGCCACATGACCTTCATGTGGCAAGGATTCTCTTGCTTGTGGTTGAGTGACTTCCCTGCACACTCCATAAACAAGGAGGATATTTCTTTATTCATTCAAATTTCAGCACTAAGTTATGGTAGGAAAAATAGGAGATGCAGTTTCAAGTGGACAAGTGTACAGCCCTAGCCCTGGGAAACGACAATCACAAGCTTTAACTAACCAGTATGGGCATAACTTGCCCCTACTGGTTGTGAAAATGACTGAGCTCTTGGTTAGCAAAAATCTGAAACAACCAGCAGTGTCTGTGTGTATGCAATGAGGGTAACAGACTGCTTGGATTTGTATAAGCACTGGATTAGTAACAAGGGAGGGTTATTAAGGATAACCAAATAAATTAAAACAGTGTGGCTTGCTGTGGTAATTTCTGGCATTATTTAAAGCTAGGTAATGGGCAGTTGATGTTAGATTTTCTTAGGACCCTTTTGGGTTTAGTGCTTAGTTTGATTATATTATTAGACTTGCCTGCCTTACTTACCTGTTCCTATTTGACCCCAAATCCTCTAGATTTTTTTAAGCAAAGTATACAGCTACTGCATTATAAGGTACTTTCAATATACAGTAATAAGTACCAGGGTTATATTGCACTTCAGTTCTACACATTATTAGCAAGATTTTACTATGCTTTGAGTAGATACTGTATGATCCTTGTAGGTTTAGCACTTATTTATGATTATAATAATTTGGGTAGATTACATAAAAAAAATATTTTTACCATATTCTTGAGAGCACAAAAATAAATTTTAGATTTAACCAAGGATAAGCCAATAGTCAAACAATGTAACTCATTTCCATTGGGGTCCACTGCTAGGGTGAAAAATTTGCACAATGACCAAAGTTCAAAATCTGAAACTATATTTCTCTTTTAGCTCATATAAATTACAAGCCCTAATACTCATTTGATTTCCACTTCTTAGAAGTACTGCTATTGTATTAAGAAAATGCTGACTTATTATAACTAGTGACAGTAAGCCTGTTAAATTACAGTAACCTTATGAAATATATATATATAATATATATATATATTATATATTATATATATATATATATATATATATATATATATATATATATATTTGCAATTTATACACTGAATATTAAAATAAATTATTATTATATTTAGGGGGAAGTGCTAAATCTGTAGCCTGGAGTTTACCTGGAGAGAGTTCCGGGGGTCAACGCCCCCGCGGCCCGGTCTGAGACCAGGCCTCCTGGTGGATCAGAGCCTGATCAACCAGGCTGTTGCTGCTGGCTGCACGCAAACCAACATACGAGCCACAGCCCGGCTGATCCGGAACTGACTTTAGGTGCTTGTCCAGTGCCAGCTTGAAGATTGCCAGGGGTCTGTTGGTAATCCCCCTTATGTGTGCTGGGAGGCAGTTGAACAGTCTCGGGCCCCTGACACTTATTGTATGGTCTCTTAACGTGCTAGTGACACCCCTGCTTTTCATTGGGGGGATGGTGCATCGTCTGCCAAGTCTTTTGCTTTCGTAGTGGGTGATTTTCGTGTGCAAGTTCGGTACTAGTCCCTCTAGGATTTTCCAGGTGTATATAATCATGTATCTCTCCCTCCTGCGTTCCAGGGAATACAGGTTTAGGAACCTCAAGCGCTCCCAATAATTGAGGTGTTTTATCTCCGTTATGCGCGCCGTGAAAGTTCTCTGTACATTTTCTAGGTCGGCAATTTCACCTGCCTTGAAAGGTGCTGTTAGTGTGCAGCAATATTCCAGCCTAGATAGAACAAGTGACCTGAAGAGTGTCATCATGGGCTTGGCCTCCCTAGTTTTGAAGGTTCTCATTATCCATCCTGTCATTTTTCTAGCAGATGCGATTGATACAATGTTATGGTCCTTGAAGGTGAGATCCTCCGACATGATCACTCCCAGGTCTTTGACGTTGGTGTTTCGCTCTATTTTGTGGCCAGAATTTGTTTTGTACTCTGATGAAGATTTAATTTCCTCATGTTTACCATATCTGAGTAATTGAAATTTCTCATCGTTGAACTTCATATTGTTTTCTGCAGCCCACTGAAAGATTTGGTTGATGTCTGCCTGGAGCTTTGCAGTGTCTGCAATGGAAGACACTGTCATGCAGATTCGGGTGTCATCTGCAAAGGAGGACACGGTGCTGTGGCTGACATCCTTGTCTATGTCGGATATAAGGATGAGGAACAAGATGGGAGCGAGTACTGTGCCTTGTGGAACAGAGCTTTTCACCGTAGCTGCCTCGGACTTTACTCTGTTGACGACTACTCTCTGTGTTCTGTTAGTGAGGAAATTATAGATCCATCGACCGACTTTTCCTGTTATTCCTTTAGCACGCATTTTGTGCGCTATTACGCCATGGTCACACTTGTCGAAGGCTTTTGCAAAGTCTGTATATATTACATCTGCATTCTTTTTGTCTTCTAGTGCATTTAGGACCTTGTCGTAGTGGTCCAATAGTTGAGACAGACAGGAGCGACCTGTTCTAAACCCATGTTGCCCTGGGTTGTGTAACTGATGGGTTTCTAGATGCGTGGTGATCTTGCTTCTTAGGACCCTTTCAAAGATTTTTATGATATGGGATGTTAGTGCTATTGGTCTGTAGTTCTTTGCTGTTGCTTTACTGCCCCCTTTGTGGAGTGGGGCTATGTCTGTTGTTTTTAGTAACTGAGGGACGACCCCCGTGTCCATGCTCCCTCTCCATAGGATGGAAAAGGCTCGTGATAGGGGCTTCTTGCAGTTCTTGATGAACACAGAGTTCCATGAGTCTGGCCCTGGGGCAGAGTGCATGGGCATGTCATTTATCGCCTGTTCGAAGTCATTTGGCGTCAGGATAACATCGGATAGGCTTGTGTTAATCAAATTTTGTGGCTCTCTCATAAAAAATTCATTTTGATCTTCGACTCTCAGTCTGGTTAGCGGCTTGCTAAAAACTGAGTCATATTGGGACTTGAGTAGCTCACTCATTTCCTTGTTGTCATCTGTGTAGGACCCATCTTGTTTAAGTAGGGGCCCAATACTGGACGTTGTTCTCGATTTTGATTTGGCATAGGAGAAGAAATACTTTGGGTTTCTTTCGATTTCATTTATGGCTTTTAGTTCTTCCCGAGATTCCTGACTCCTAAAGGATTCTTTTAGCTTAAGTTCGATGCTTGCTATTTCTCTGACCAGTGTCTCCCTACACATTTCAGATATATTGACCTCTTTTAGCCGCTCTGTTATTCTTTTCCGTCGCCTGTAAAGGGAGCGCCTGTCTCTTTCTGTTTTACATCTACTCCTCCTTTTTCTTAGAGGAATAAGCCTTGTGCATACATCGAGTGCTACCGAGTTAATCTGTTCTAGGCATAAGTTGGGGTCTGTGTTGCTTAGTATATCTTCCCAGCTTATATCGGTTAGGACTTGGTTTACTTGGTCCCACTTTATGTTTTTGTTATTGAAGTTGAATTTGGTGAATGCTCCCTCGTGACTAATCTCCTTATGTCGGTCTGGGGCTCCGCGCATACATGACTGAACCTCAATTATGTTGTGATCTGAGTATATTGTTTTTGATATGGTGATATTTCTTATCAGATCATCATTGTTAGTGAAGATGAGGTCTAGTGTATTCTCCAGTCTAGTAGGCTCTATTATTTGCTGGTTTAAATTGAATTTTGTGCAGAGATTTAAAAGCTCGCGTGAGTGTGAGTTTTCATCCGAGCTGCCTCCTGGTGTTATTACTGCAACAATATTATTTGCTATATTCCTCCATTTTAGGTGCCTTAAGTTGAAATCCCCCAGGAGCAAGATGTTGGGTGCAGGAGCTGGAAGGTTTTCCAGACAGTGGTCAATTTTTAACAGCTGTTCCTGGAATTGCTGGGATGTTGCATCCGGAGGCTTGTAGACTATCACAATGACTAGGTTTTGGTTCTCGACCTTTACTGCTAAAACTTCCACTACATCATTTGAGGCATTTAGCAGTTCTGTGCAAACAAGTGACTCTGCAATGTACAGGCCAACCCCCCCCTTTTGCCTGTTCACTCTGTCACATCTGTATAGGTTGTAACCTGGGATCCATATTTCGTTGTCCAAGTGATCCTTTATGTGGGTCTCAGTGAAAGCCGCGAACATTGCCTTTGCCTCTGCAAGCAGTCCACGGATGAAAGGTATTTTGTTGTTTGTTGCTGGCTTTAGACCCTGTATATTTGCAAAGAAGAATGTTATCGGACTGGTGGTATTGTTGGTACTGGGGGGGGATTTTTTTTCCGGCATTAGTATCTGTATCTGTTGGTTTGGAGTGGAGGCCATCGACTGTGGTTCCACTCCAGGAATGACTGGATTTGGTGTACGATTTCTGCCATTTCCTGCCAGTTTTTTTTCCTTCCTGGCACTAAAAAACCTCTCCCTCTTGAGTGGCTGTGGCTACCCAGGTTTTCCCATGGCCTGGATGTTTTGTATCTTTTTGTCCCCTTTAGATGGTATGCCTGGCAATTTAAGTTATAGCACAGTCTTTCCTGTACTGAAGAGGTACACAGTTCAGGGTGGCCATGTAGTGCCTAGGAAATAGGCAATTAGGTTTGATGTAAGGGAGGTCGTCTTATTCCTTAGATCAAGATTATTATAATCAAAGAAAGCGCTAAACCGACAAGGGTCCTCAGATCAAGAGCCTTTCACAAGCACCAAGGAATCTCAAGGGATATGAAAATTCCTTTCAAAACCTTGATTAACAGTTTATTCAGGTAAGTTGTATACGAAGTCATTATAGTGTAGTACACTTAAGTAATTTTCCATTTAATAATTGTACTGCACAACCAATATAGATACGTACATATTATAAACGGGGAAGCGCTAAACCCGTAGAATTATAGTGCCTGTGGGGGGATGTGGAAGGTATTTAGGTTTAGTTCAGGGAACTGGAGTACAGATCCAATTCCCTAGATCAAGATCCCCTCACCAGTATCAAGGAACCTTCCTTGATGGGTATAGATACATAAAGTAACATTTTATGGTGACTTAACCTAGGTTATCCCTACATCTCTCTAAGAGGTTTTAAATGCAAACTACGGACATTTAATCATCCCTAGTTAAGAAAATTAAAGGCCAAGTTATTTTGTATTTAATCACATGCAAACTAGTGGTCTTACAGCGAGACTCATGAGGAAGGGATGGAAGGAGAAGAGGGAGGAGCCCAGCCTTGCCACACACGCCACGTAGATGATGAATATTGCCGCTCCTCCACGTACCCACACCTGAATATATCTCATCTTTACTGTTTATTACTCGTCCAGTGTCTGTGAATAACTCTTCTTCCCGTTCAGTGTTCTTAAATAACCACTATCCTTCCTTATTATGTGTTAAATGACGATTATAACAGCAGCGTACTTCAAGGTTCCTCCCTGTCTTCTAGTCTAGATCATTGTTTGTTAGTTTGTAGCCTTGTAGTGATTGTTAGTGACCATTTCTTATGTCATATTTATCTCCTGTTTCCCGATGTATGGGAAGTAAAGACTATCAACATTTTTGCCAATAAAGAACAAGGAACAAAACCCGAACTGTGAGATACCGCAGTAGAACTGATGACCGGCTTCCACCAGAAGCCGTTGAATTATTATTATAATCAAAAGAGCGCTAAGCCACAAGGACTATACAGCGCAGAAGCCGTTGAAAATACACAGCACAAGTGAAAAATAATAATAATAATTATTATTATAATCACGGGGGAAGCTCTAAACCCGTAGGATTATACAGCGCCTGTGGAGGGGTGTAAGGTATTCAGGCTTAATTCAGGGAGTAAGCAGAGATCCAATTCCTTAGATCAAGAGCCCCTCATCAGCGTCAAGGAACCTTCTCTGAGGGGAATCATAATAATAATTATTATTTAGTTGCTAAATCACATGCAGAGACTACAAATAAGGAATGAGTCCCTAAAATAGGGAGTCACCATCACAATGTATTTACACTAAGCGGAAAACGTCAAACATGGAACAGTTTGCTGTGGAAAAGGACTTTGTGTAGCTAAGAGACTGTAAAGTAAGTTTATTTAGGTACAGGTACACGTAAATATAGTTACACAAATTATCATAGTAACGTAAATTACCTAGGATACCCCCCACCCCAAAAAAAAAGTCAGTGACATTTCATTGGACATAAATAAGTTTATTCAGGTATACAGTTACATAGATTATCATAAATAGCAGCATGTGTAGAGAAGCTAGGATATATAACCCAGAGGAGACTTCGCCACAAGTGGTTTCATGAATCCTAATAAAACCACTTAGCGAAACGTCTCTTATAATAAATGTCTTGAACTATACTCCCCTCAAGGAAGGTTCCTTGATATTGGTGAGGGGCTCTTGATTTAGGGAATTGGATCTGTACTCCAGTTCCCCGAATTAAGCCTGAATGCCTTCTACATCCCCCCCCCAGGCGCTGTATAATCCTCCGGGTTTAGCGCTTCCCCCTTGATTATAATAATAATAATGTATAATCCTCCGGGTTTAGCGCTTCCCCCTTGATTATAATAATAATAATAATGTATAATCCTCCGGGTTTAGCACTTCCCCCTTGATCATAACAATAATAATAATGTATAATCCTCCGGGTTTAGCGCTTCCCCCTTGATTATAATAATAATAATTGAACTATACTGGAGTGTCTTCTTCCACAGTGTTATTATCACCACAACAGTGACAACCATTGGGTTATTCTAGGTTCTCTACACATATGCTGCTATGTATGATAATCTATGTAACTGTATACCTGATAAACTTACTTGACTTCTGGACTGCATCAATTATTCACTGGCTTTCATACATGTAAAATTTTTAACGTTTACTAGAAAAAAAATAAATACCAGTAAATCTATAAAATTTCTCGTAATATTTTAACGGATAAAATATTTAAATAATAGTATTGTGTGTCAATAAATTAATATTTTAAATAATATTGGTTAACATTGAATGTTGAGTGTTGTATGTAAACAAAGATGGCGAACGCTACCAGCCTCGTGCAGGGCTTTAAAGGTATTTTGTCCTACTCGCATGTATCCTACATAATTATTTACAATGCTGGTGCGTCTGATATTAACCTTGTCAACGGATAACCACAAGTGGTTTAAAAGGATGCGAGAACAATCACCAGGACATCTTAGGAAACGTTTCGGCTGTGGGATCTTGATCACTTAACCTTCTTAGGGTTACGAATAGCAGTATATATATGGGCATAAAGTGATATGTAAATGACTGGTACTAGCAAAGTATTTGTGACTCCCGTTTATTAGAGAGTTTAGAAGCTTGTTTTTAACTTTTCCTTCAGTGCTCTACTTGCTCAATCTGTCCAGTCTGACAGTGCCACCCAGTGCTGTTGCTGGGGTTGGTGTCGCCCCATGAAATCCAAGGTCGGGGGGATGTGGGGGAGTAAACTCCAGTTAGGTCACTACTGCATGACCAGTGATGTGGGGGAGTAAACTCCAGTTAGGTCACTACTGCATGACCAGTGATGTGGGGGAGTAAACTCCAGTTAGGTCACTACTGCATGACCAGTGATGTGGGGGAGTAAACTCCAGTTAGGTCACTACTGCATGACCAGTGATGTGGGGGAGTAAACTCCAGTTAGGTCACTACTGCATGACCAGTGATGTGGGGGAGTAAACTCCAGTTAGGTCACTACTGCATGACCAGTGATGTGGGGGAGTAAACTCCAGTTAGGTCACTACTGCATGACCAATGACTAATGTTTAGCAATGAGAAAGTTTAAGGGCCATAAACTGAGCAGAATACGTACTTCTCAACTTTATTAATGATAAATAATCGTAGTACTATTAAGGAAACATAAACTCAAATACCACTTTGAGTACAGGCAACAGATCCTACATTTATCTTCAGCAATGCAAAAAAAAAAAAAAAATAAAGAAAAACATTGCAATAGAAGAGAAACACTAGTTCCAAATTAACCTTGAGTACAGGTAACATCTCAGTGAATCTGATCTTACATTTCCTTGCCTTCAATCCTGCAAAATCATCTATCACATCATCAAAATCAATGATTTTCCACATATAGGTCTATTTGTACTCTGTAATCATATAAGAGGCTTTATAGAAATGAAGAATTTTTCTTTTATGTTGCTGCAGCACTGTTTTTGGCATTAGTGTCACCTTCTTTAGAGGCTCTATGGTGTCACCCCTTGATGGTGTCACCTGGGGCTGCCTGAGTGACACCTTTAATTCAAACAAATGATTTGTTAACCCAAACTGATTTACTACTCTGTGGCCACCTCTTTTTGCCCTTGTGCTCACTTTCGCACATTATACCTCTTTCTCTACTGTCTCCATCCTTGTCATGCAGCACCGAAAAGTCCATATGGATTTAGTGCTTATCATAGTTATGAATACAAGCTATGGTATAGGAATCAGTGTGATGGTGATAACGATGTATATATAAAAATCAAGATATTTCAGGAAAATTTTGTTAGGTGTGTTCAGTATTGTAAGGTATTTACTATTAATATGCCATCCCTGCAGCCTCAATTATATATAATTTTTTTTATAGCTTGTAGCAGTATAAATGATTGATTGTTGTACTATTTTACTGTGTGTTGAGATTCATGTAGCCAGACTGCAATGCTGGTTGCCCTTAGATTTTCAGGTTAAACTTTAGCTTTTCATCATCCCTCTAAAACAACATTATTTACCTTTCAGTTGTGGGACTCAAATTTTGTGAGGAGAGTAAAGGAGTTCATCAGTTATTATGGAAGAAGCACACAGTTCGTATTCACAGTGAATGCAAGCCTCCTGACAGAACTCTTTTTGTTGTAAACGTTCCACCCTATTGCACAGAGGTGAGTTATTCAAAGGAGAGATGAGTTTACACCTTTCCCATACTTTTTTTTTGTTATATTTGTTTCTGTATGTTAAATATGTTTGTGAATGCTTAAAATAATTTATGTGCCAACTTTTTTTGTAGCCTGGAAGGGATAAAAATTAAGACGTGTTCCATGAAGCATTATGTACTGATTGTGTCTCACGAGGACATAACCAAAAGTTCTTTGCAGCATGAACGTATCACATGACCACATATTGAACACACTGGACTCTTGCATAGTAATATCATGGAGAGGCACCGAGTGCCACTCTTTGGGGATTGTCGGTCCAGCATTGTTGGATAAATACTCCTGTCATTAAAGAAAACATCACTGTCATTTTTTATTGCTTCTTCAGTGCCCTAACATTTTTTTTTTTTTTTTTGAGTGTCCCACTTTTAATAAATGCTGATTTACAATATAACTTATTAACTGAAACTGATTTACTGCACCAACTAAGACTTTCAGCCTTCAGTTCACCCTCCAGTCTTTCACTGTCTAATATTACTCCTTTGTCATGTAGTGATGAATGGTTCTCATAGATTTAGTGCTTTCTTTGTATAGTATTACTGTATATGTTGTAGCTGTGGCAAAAAAAGACTGTGCTTATAATTGCTTGTTCACTTAAAATAAGATTAATTTTACTTTTAAGGATTGCTGATTTTTGAAATCTGAAAATAATGTTGGTTTGATTATGTTGCTTTTCATGCCTGCCTTGTATTTACTTGCTTTAGTTGTTATATAAAATTAATAAACAAATCCTCGTGTAAAGAGTTGACAGATTGTTTAGATTGTTTCAGATATAATAAGGTCAGTTGTTATAGAGAAATTGTGTTTTCTTTATGCCATTCTTCACATTTGAGCACCTTCAAGTAGAGAGGGAGGGTATCCTTAAGTTTTCTTGATCTCTGGAATTGGAACTACCCTGTTCCCTGAGTCAAGCTATATTATCTCCCATTTTGCAAGCACTGTATGACTCCTATGGGTTTAGTATTTCCCCCTTGAATGTAAAAGTATTGATGATTGTCTCCCATTCCACAAGCACAGTATGATCTCTGTGGGTGTAGCACTTCCCCATCATTATAATAATAATCCACATTTGACACTTGAGCAATATGATATTTGTAGCTCTTATTTATTTGCAGGAGGCATTCCAACGGTTATTTTCAGAATATGGAAAAGTTCAGAATGTATATTTTCACAAAAAACCCACCTCAGGTCCACCACAGTCAGCAAAGTACCCACACTTCTCCATCGTGACACCTGTCCTGGTAAGTATCCAGCACTGCAGTAAATAAAGAATTTGTAACTAAGGATAATTTTCTTGTAACCTATTTGTTTGTTCATTTATTTGCCATGCACTGTTAGTAATTCCTCAGAAAGCATTATTTTGGCTCCATGCTCCATGTGTAAATCTTTAAAGTAAATAGAGCAGTAATATTTTTTGTCACTAAATGTGTTTGACTTATATCCTGTCCTGTTAAATTTCAGCATATACTGTACATTAATTTATTTTATATTAAAAGTAATTTGTAACTTGCTATCTGAGTTTAATTTAAAGTTTGTTTTATCTTGTACATAACCAATTTTTTTTTTTAAACACTTCGGCCATTTCCCACTGAAGCAGGGTGTCCCAAAAAGAAAGAAAAAACTTTAATCATCATTCAACACTTTCACCATCACTCTCACATAATCACTGTCTTTGCAGAGGTGCTCAGACACAACAGATTTTATAGCTAAAAAATCCAAACTGCCTAATTCTTTATTGAAATAGAAGCAGTCTTATGATTTATGTGTTTATGTTTTAATTGAATGCTCTGTAATCCATATTTTCAGGGTTTTAAAGTGGCTTATATCGTATTTACTCATTCATCTGCTGTCAAAAAAGCCATGGCAGTACCGCCCTCCACTGTCCTGGTGTTATCAACAAAGGAACACCCAGTGCTAACGGGAGTAAAGAGTAAGTACAATATTGGTGACCATCATTTTGTTCTTCAGATAATATTACAGTCACAAGTAATACATCTAGGTAGTAGGTTGGTAGACAACAATCACTCAGGGAGATACTACCACACTCCCAACTGAGTGTAAAATGGAAGCCTGTACGTAATTGCTTTACACGATGGTAGGATTGCTGGTCTCTTTTTTTTCTGTCTCATAAACATGCAAGATTTCAGGTACATCTTGCTACTTCTACTTACACTTAGGTCACACTGCACCTGCATGTACAAGCAAATATATACACACCCCTCTGTGTTTTCTTGTATTTTCTTACTAGTTATTGTTCTGGTTTATTTCCTCTTATCTCCATGGGAAAGTGGAACAGAATTCTTCCTCTGTAAGTTATGCATGTTGTAAGAGGTGACTAAAATGCCAGGAGCAAGGGGCTAGTAACCCCTTCTCCTGTATATATTACTAAAGTTAAAAAGAGAAACTTTTGTTTTTTTCTTTTTGGGCCACCCTGCTTCAGTGGGTTATGTCTGATTTGTTGAAAGAAGTAATACACACAAATTAGTAATGAAACTAGACTTCAGTGCAGTCTTGACCATTGTCATATGAGTGAAACATCATCTGGTTTTCATTTCCACTGGGCTAGTAGTGAATTCTTGCCACCATTTTTAACATTTTTTTTTCCAACTTTGTCAGGTGGAATACAGCCTCTCCTCACTTAGTGACATAGTACTCATTTACCAACCTCTTGAACTTACGACCAGCACTCCAACCAGTATGGAAACCTAAATAATGTACGTATATTAGAGCTGATTTCCTCTTATTCTGTTTATTACAGTATATAGTACACTACTGTATAAACATTTAAAAATATACTAGAAATGTTATAGACGGTGCAAAGGTGATATTAAAAAATTATCTAAAAATGGTTGACACAGACCCACTACCAGCATAGTATGCTTCTCGCTTAACCCTTTGGGGGTCGCCAGGGTTGCCAAAATTTAAAAAAAAAAAATTATTTTATAATTATTATCACACTGGCCGATTCCCACCAAGGCAGGGTGGCCCGAAAAAGAAAAACTTTCACCATCATTCACTCCATCACTGTCTTGCCAGAAGGGTGCTTTACACTACAGTTTTTAAACTGCAACATTAACACCCCTCCTTCAGAGTGCAGGCACTGTACTTCCCATCTCCAGGACTCAAGTCCGGCCTGCCGGTTTCCCTGAATCCCTTCATAAATGTTACTTTGCTCACACTCCAACAGCACGTCAAGTATTAAAAACCATTTGTCTCCATTCACTCCTATCAAACACGCTCACGCATGCCTGCTGGAAGTCCAAGCCCCTCGCACACAAAACCTCCTTTACCCCCTCCCTCCAACCCTTCCTAGGCCGACCCCTACCCCGCCTTCCTTCCACTACAGACTGATACACTCTTGAAGTTATTCTGTTTCGCTCCATTCTCTCTACATGTCCGAACCACCTCAACAACCCTTCCTCAGCCCTCTGGACAACAGTTTTGGTAATCCCGCACCTCCTCCTAACTTCCAAACTACGAATTCTCTGCATTATATTCACACCACACATTGCCCTCAGACATGACATCTCCACTGCCTCCAGCCTTCTCCTCGCTGCAACATTCATCACCCATGCTTCACACCCATATAAGAGCGTTGGTAAAACTATACTCTCATACATTCCCCTCTTTGCCTCCAAGGACAAAGTTCTCTGTCTCCACAGACTCCTAAGTGCACCACTCACTCTTTTTCCCTCATCAATTCTATGATTCACCTCATCTTTCATAGACCCATCCGCTGACACGTCCACTCCCAAATATCTGAATACGTTCACCTCCTCCATACTCTCTCCCTCCAATCTGATATTCAATCTTTCATCACCTAATCTTTTTGTTATCCTCATAACCTTACTCTTTCCTGTATTCACCTTTAATTTTCTTCTTTTGCACACCCTACCAAATTCATCCACCAATCTCTGCAGCTTCTCTTCAGAATCTCCCAAGAGCACAGTGTCATCAGCAAAGAGCAGCTGTGACAACTCCCACCCTGTGTGTGATTCTTTATCTTTTAACTCCACGCCTCTTGCCAAGACCCTCGCATTTACTTCTCTTACAACCCCATCTATAAATATATTAAACAACCACGGTGACATCACACATCCTTGTCTAAGGCCTACTTTTACTGGGAAAAAATTTCCCTCTTTTCTACATACTCTAACTTGAGCCTCACTATCCTCGTAAAAACTCTTCACTGCTTTCAGTAACCTACCTCCTACACCATACACTTGCAACATCTGCCACATTGCCCCCCTATCCACCCTGTCATACGCCTTTTCCAAATCCATAAATGCCACAAAGACCTCTTTAGCCTTATCTAAATACTGTTCACTTATATGTTTCACTGTAAACACCTGGTCCACACACCCCCTACCTTTCCTAAAGCCTCCTTGTTCATCTGCTATCCTATTCTCCGTCTTACTCTTAATTCTTTCAATTATAACTCTACCATACACTTTACCAGGTACACTCAACAGACTTATCCCCCTATAATTTTTGCACTCTCTTTTATCCCCTTTGCCTTTATACAAAGGAACTATGCATGCTCTCTGCCAATCCCTAGGTACCTTACCCTCTTCCATACATTTATTAAATAATTGCACCAACCACTCCAAAACTATATCCCCACCTGCTTTTAACATTTCTATCTTTATCCCATCAATCCCGGCTGCCTTACCCCCTTTCATTTTACCTACTGCCTCACGAACTTCCCCCACACTCACAACTGGCTCTTCCTCACTCCTACAAGATGTTATTCCTCCTTGCCCTATACACGAAATCACAGCTTCCCTATCTTCATCAACATTTAACAATTCCTCAAAATATTCCCTCCATCTTCCCAATACCTCTAACTCTCCATTTAATAACTCTCCTCTCCTATTTTTAACTGACAAATCCATTTGTTCTCTAGGCTTCCTTAACTTGTTAATCTCACTCCAAAACTTTTTCTTATTTTCAACAAAATTTGTTGATAACAGCTCACCCACTCTCTCATTTGCTCTCTTTTTACATTGCTTCACCACTCTCTTAACCTCTCTCTTTTTCTCCATATACTCTTCCCTCCTTGCATCACTTCTACTTTGTAAAAACTTCTCATATGCTAACTTTTTCTCCCTTACTACTCTCTTTACATCATCATTCCACCAATCGCTCCTCTTCCCTCCTGCACCCACTTTCCTGTAACCACAAACTTCTGCTGAACACTCTAACACTACATTTTTAAACCTACCCCATTCCTCTTCGACCCCATTGCCTATGCTCTCATTAGCCCATCTATCCTCCAATAGCTGTTTATATCTTACCCTAACTGCCTCCTCTTTTAGTTTATAAACCTTCACCTCTCTCTTCCCTGATGCTTCTATTCTCCTTGTATCCCATCTACCTTTTACTCTCAGTGTAGCTACAACTAGAAAGTGATCTGATATATCTGTGGCCCCTCGATAGACATGTACATCCTGAAGTCTACTCAACAGTCTTTTATCTACTAATACATAATCCAACAAACTACTGTCATTTCGCCCTACATCATATCGTGTATACTTATTTATCCTCTTTTTCTTAAAATATGTATTACCTATAACTAAACCCCTTTCTATACAAAGTTCAATCAAAGGGCTCCCATTATCATTTACACCTGGCACCCCAAACTTACCTACCACACCCTCTCTAAAAGTTTCTCCTACTTTAGCATTCAGGTCCCCTACCACAATTACTCTCTCACTTGGTTCAAAGGCTCCTATACATTCACTTAACATCTCCCAAAATCTCTCTCTCTCCTCTGCATTCCTCTCTTCTCCAGGTGCATACACGCTTATTATGACCCACTTCTCGCATCCAACCTTTACTTTAATTTTTCCTTATGAAAAGATAGAGAATCTTTTCCCAATCATAATGACACCAAAAGTATGAAATTTGATGGAAAACTTACGGAATTATGCTCTCGTGATGTTAGCGGTCTCGACGATGTTTACGCATTGGAGATTTTACCCACTTTGAGCCCTATTTTCGGCCAATTCCAGTGTACTAGTCAACAAAAATCATAACTATTTCGCTAGGACTCCATTTTTTCTATCGAATGAGTACAAGAAACCGCCCATTTACCGATTTCAGCTATGCAATAAAGTGGTCAGAATTTAGCAATTTTGCCAATTTCACACAAATTTCAAAAGATGCCAATTTCCAAATAGGGTCCAGAATAAACAAGAAAGACATTCCTGGCACTAAAATAACATTTCCTCTGTTCATTAGTCACGTCCCCAGGCCCCTCTTCCATTTCTTTTGCTTTCCACTTTGATTTTTTATTCTCACAAAAAAAAAAAATAAGATTTACTGTTATGCAGACTACTGCATTAGTGTAGAAATGGTATAAATAATATTGGCGCACTTGTGAAAGAATGTTAGACTCACTAGTTGATGTGTATTGGATGCTTAGCATGATTTGTTTACTTTTGAACTTTGGTAAAAATCAAACATTTCTGCTACTTTGAGCTCAATTTCAAGGTAGTTTTCATTGTAAAAGCAGTCAAAATCATCTCAATTTTTGTAATATGTCTTCCATTCTATACAATGAGACCAGGAAAATTAGAATACAACAATAAATACCATATGAAAATACAGTGCAAAGTCGCTGTTTTAAACCAAAAACACAGTCAAAGTTTTTTTTTTCTCATTACTCACTGTGTGCTGCAGGATTTTCTTTATACTGCGCACACTGACCACATAGACCCATTCTTTCATATGTAGGCCTACCAGCTTTCTGTTGCTGGATTTGAGGGCGCTAGAATTTATGCGTACTAGTACATGTACGTCAAAAACCCTGGAGCGTAAGCCGTACTAGTACGGCCGAAACCCCAAAAGGGTTAACAACTAATTCGCTTACCAACCTACTTTTAGGAATGGAGCCCTGTCAATAAGTGAGGAGAGGCTGTATACAGTGGACCCCCGGTTAATGATATTTTTTCATTCCAGAAGTATGTTCAGGTGCCAGTACTGACCGAATTTGTTCCCATAAGGAATATTGTGAAGTAGATTAGTCCATTTCAGACCCCCAAACATACACATACAAACGCACTTACATAATTGGTCGCATTGGGAGGTGATCGTTAAGCGGGGGTCCACTGTACTTTTAATGTTGATAAGGTAAACCCAGTACAGTACAATATATATGTATCAATCATTAGAACCAGTTTTTCTTAATTCCTAAATAGTCTTGGTACTGTAGTTAATAGCAGCAGCTTTCTTTGTGTATTTTTCTCCAACTCGGCAACTTGCTGTTGTTTTCACCAACTTAGTAATTCATTGTTTCTCAGCATAGCATATATAATTTGTGTATATAAGGTCTTTAGTGCTGAGTTAAATGTAGGAGAAATAGTAATTTTTTTTTTCTACTATGTAGCAGTCTCTCTTAATCAGTGTACAATATAATTTATACAGTCGGGCGCCGTTGTATAGCGCTTTGCTTTATGGCGATTTGCAAATACGGACATGTAAAATTATAACCAAAAATTTGTTTATATGGCTCCCTGATTCACTATTACTGTGTCTGTGCACCACTATCTTTACATCCCCTGTGATGTTTGTAAACTTTCCAAAATTTCAAGTGTTTTAAAGTTATTGCATATTTTATATATGCAATAACTTTACTTTACTTTTATATATGCAATAACTTTACTTTACTTTTATATATGCAATAACTTTACTTTGTACTTATGTGTACCTGTACCTAAATAAACTTACACACTGTGCTAACATGCAGGCACACATTAAAATCACTAAGAGTCTCACTAGTGTTATAAACACAATAATAATAATGATAATAATCACTCTGGGGCACTTTAAATGTCATATATTACATTATTATAGACATTTTCATTAATTTATCTATATTTTTTAAAAATTATATAAGAAACATACTATAAATCATATAAACATAATGCATACAACCATAGTAGAACAAATTAACATAAACATGAAATGTGGGAGCCAGGCTGCTTGTAGGAGTGATGGCAAGAATTCCATTTTTTCTAGTCCAACACCAGATAAGCTGTGTATGGTACAGTATTACTGGGGTAACTCTAGAAAAATATTCCTTTCACATGCCTTCATTCATAGCATCATTCACTCTAAAAATGGCGTGTTTCATGAGAATGGGAGTGTTGCTGTTATGTATTCTACTGCAGTATCATGAAGACAACTTGTACATAATATAAAGTATTTGTATTATTGGGAAAACACTTCACAATCATATGCATAATGTGAAATGAATGCATATCAACAGCCAGTGGACACAAGTGAATTACGTGTAAATCCAACTGCCTACCCACAACACTGACACCATAAGATGCATTTATAGAGCACCCTCCCCACAGTATTTTATTTTATTTTTATTATCACACCGGCCGATTCCCACCAAGGCAGGGTGGCCCGAAAAAGAAAAACTTTCACCATCATTCACTCCATCACTGTCTTGCCAGAAGGGTGCTTTACACTACAGTTTTTAAACTGCAACATTAACACCCCTCCTTCAGAGTGCAGGCACTGTACTTCCCATCTCCAGGACTCAAGTCCGGCCTGCCGGTTTCCCTGAATCCCTTCATAAATGTTACTTTGCTCACACTCCAACAGCACGTCAAGTATTAAAAACCATTTGTCTCCATTCACTCCTATCAAACACGCTCACGCATGCCTGCTGGAAGTCCAAGCCCCTCGCACACAAAACCTCCTTTACCCCCTCCCTCCAACCCTTCCTAGGCCGACCCCTACCCCGCCTTCCTTCCACTACAGACTGATACACTCTTGAAGTCATTCTGTTTCGCTCCATTCTCTCTACATGTCCGAACCACCTCAACAACCCTTCCTCAGCCCTCTGGACAACAGTTTTGGTAATCCCGCACCTCCTCCTAACTTCCAAACTACGAATTCTCTGCATTATATTCACACCACACATTGCCCTCAGACATGACATCTCCACTGCCTCCAGCCTTCTCCTCGCTGCAACATTCATCACCCACGCTTCACACCCATATAAGAGCGTTGGTAAAACTATACTCTCATACATTCCCCTCTTTGCCTCCAAGGACAAAGTTCTTTGTCTCCACAGACTCCTAAGTGCACCACTCACTCTTTTTCCCTCATCAATTCTATGATTCACCTCATCTTTCATAGACCCATCCGCTGACACGTCCACTCCCAAATATCTGAATACGTTCACCTCCTCCATACTCTCTCCCTCCAATCTGATATTCAATCTGATATTCAATTTTATATTAATAATAATTTTTATTTCTACAAGTGAATGTGGGCGTGTTGCCGTGTGCTCAGTATCTCTCGGTTCCGTCTAAAAACTTTCCAAATTTTTTCAGTGTTTTAAAGTTACTACATATATTATGTATACAGTAGGTCTCCTGTTCCAAGGACCTGCCATGGATGCTGAAACTGCAGATAATAGCAAACCCTGTATATAAGTATGCACTGTACATACCTATTATAAAATTTAATTGACTAATTATGCACAGTCAGTGAAACTGATAATTCTCCACTTTTTTTTATTTTTTTTTTTTTTATTATCACACTGGCCGATTCCCACCAAGGCAGGGTGGCCCGAAAAAGAAAAACTTTCACCATCATTCACTCCATCACTGTCTTGCCACTTATTGGCTATAATTTATCAATTAAGCTTTATAATAGGTATGTTTTCATTGTTGAAAGAAGAGATACCTATTATAAAGTTTAATTGATAAATTATGCACAGTAAGTGGAGAATTATCACTTTTTCACTGATGATAAGCACTTCACTGCTTCTTTTAATCTTTGAAGAACTTCCATCACTACTTTTACACCTTAAGGTCATTATTAAGTAAATTAAAGGTTACTTTTGGGCTATGAAACTGCAGATACCAGACCTGCAGATGTGGGGATCCTACTGTACTATTTTTTGTTACGATGGCATCTAAGGAGAAAGTGTTGAAGGAAATTAAAAGTGCTACACTAGTGAACACTAAAGTTATAATATATGATAGTGTAAAAATGTTATCTGGCATTTATAGAGATTTAACCCTTTCAGGGTCCAAGGCCCAAATCTGGAGTCATGCACCAGTGTCCAAGAATTTTCAAAAAAAAAAATTGTTATTTTTTCTTATGAAATCGTAGAGAATCTTTTTGTGAAGGTAATAAAACAAAAAGTACGAAATTTGGTGGAAAATTGACGAAATTATGCTCTAGCGAATTTTGATGTGTCAGCGATATTTACGAATCGGCAATTTTGCCGACTTTGACTCCCATTTTAGGCCAATTACATTATTCCAATCAACCAAATTCTTAGCTATTTCACTAGTATTACTTCTATTCTATCGATTGAGCACAAGAAATCGCCAAGTCAACTGTTTCAACTACAAAATAAAGTGATTGGAAATTGTTAATTTGGCCAATTTAACACAAAGTTCAAAATATTCCAATTTCAAAATAGGCTCCAGAATAAACAATGCAGGTATTCCTGGCACTAAACTAACATTTCCTCTGTTCATTAGTTATGTTTTGAGGCTTTACAAATAAATTCAATTTTGATTTTTTATTCACATAATGAAATTTTATTCACACCAAAAAATAGAAGATTTACTGTTATGCAATACTGTAATAATTGTATAAATATCATCACCATATTTGTGAATGTATATTAGACCCACCAGCTGACGTGTATTAGACGTGTGAGGTCGTTTGTTTACTCTTGAATATCGGCAAAAATTTAACATTTCTGCTACTTTGAGCTCAGTTTCAAGCCATTTCCAGTGCTAAAACCAATCAAAATCATCTCTATTTCTGTAATATGTCTTCCATTCTATCAAATGAGACCAAGAAATCGCAAATACAACTATAAAAAACATACGAAAAAACACTGCAAAGTTGCTGTTTTAATCGAAAAATCATGATTTCATTTTTTTTCTCTCATTATACACAGTGTGCTGCAGGATCTGTTTTATGTGGTGCACACATACCACATAGATGTATTCTCTCATATCTAGGCCCAAATGTACCACTCACAGTTTATCAGAGTGAGCTGAGCTCATGGCGTAGATCTACGGTTTGGACCCTGAACGTAAAGCCGTAGATCTACGGGACGGACCCTGAAAGGGTTAAAAATGAAAATAATGGTGATTCGCTTTATGGCATTATCCTGGAACCTAACCTGCCATATAAACAGGGCCTTCATGTAATCTATCTCTTAGGTTTTTCTACTCTTAAACAATGCTGTATTGTAGGATAATTTTTTTTTCCAGAATGGCATCAGCAGTACAATCAGCAGTTCATCAGCAGAATAACACTGAACAAAGAAATAAAGGCTCTGATCTCGGAATATGATAAGAAAAAAGAACAAGAACAAGCAGCTAGCAAGCAGGAGCCAGACAATGAAGGCTGGGTCACAGTTACTTCAGTGTGAGTACTCATGTGATGTTTTCTTCAAGGCACAATAAATGTTCATCTTGGATTTCAAAAACAGCTGGGTTTTTTTTTAACCATTAAAATCAAATCAAATGCTAGTTGGAGATAATTACAAAAAACGTCTTTCACCTTGTTAACAGTTTTTGAAGTTACATTAATACTGTGTAAAGATATTTTGATGAGTATTTTTTAAATACAATTTACAGAAAAATCAGTTGCCATCCCCACGAGTCCTTTGGGGCAGGGCAGATGGCAGACCAGAGGCCTAGCTTCTCCCTATGAGCCCCGTGAGGGCAGGGACTGTGGCTAGGCCTGGGGACAGTTGGTCCCAAAGATGAGGGGGTACATGTACCTCCTCCCATGGGAGACTTAGGTCTCGAGATACTCCCCAGACAGGGAGCCAAGGCCGGGTCACCACTATTGGAAAAGACCCCTGGCTGGGAGAGTACCGGCGAATAAAAAAAAAAAAAAGTTTAGGACACTAGTGAATAAATTTTTTTATAGCTATCCTTACAAAGTGAAATACTCAGATCTTGCTTATACTCTTATCATTAAAAAAAAAAAAAACTTTTCTTAAGCCTTCTGTTTATAATTTTGTAACTATATTTTAAACAATATTATTTTTATTATATAGTAATTCAACCTAATATATTGATGACTTAATTTAAAAAATTATCTAAATGTTTATGAAACTAGTTTGGTCCAACAGATAGATGTCTGTCTATCATGTTTTTAAATATACAGTGGTACCTCGGGATATGAGCAGCTCAAAACTCGAGCAATTATGCAAGTGTATTTATGTAAATGCTTTTGTAGGTGTATTTTTGGGGGTCTGAAACGAATTAATCTGATTTACATTATTCCTTAAGGGAACAAATTCGTTCTGTATCGGCACTCGAACAGCCTTCTGGAATGAAAAAAATTCATATCCCGAGGTACCACTGTACAGTGGTAAAAGTGGTAAAAGAAGTGCATAATTTATTTTAAGAGTAGTATAGTATCTAATAAAAAATGTGTAAATGCACTGTACGGTTTGTACATCACTTCATTTAAAATTTGACGTATGAAATTTCTGGTACAATTCTTCATTTAAGGATTATTATCTAATAACTATTTTTCCATTAGGAAGAAGAAAAAAACACACATGAAAAAGATAGATGAACTAAAAAACAAGAAGAATAAAAAGAAAAAGAAGAAGCATCAATTAGTTAATTTTTACACCTTCCAGCACAGGCAAACCAAGATAGATCGTAAGTGCCACAAGGTTTTTTTTTTTTTTTTTTTATTTTAAATAATTTTTCCCTTCTTTAACAGCCATAATGTATTCATTTTATGCATGATAAATTTGCGACGATACTCCAGATCCTAAGTAATCATTTTTATATTTCATTGGTTCCTGATGTGACAAGTTCCAACAAGTTTTCCATAATGTTTTCTCTGTGTATCTAGTTTTCATATACTATTCATATAATGCTAATCCTCAATAGTTCTTTGGAAAAATTTATTAAAATATAGTGGACTGTCAGTTAACATGAAACCTGATAACATTTGATTGCACTAATGCAGTTGTAAAATTTCAGTTTTATTAACCAGTTTACAAGGTGGCATAAATGTAGGAGAAAATGTGGCATGTGTCAGGTTGTTTCCTGTCTTGCAGTGAGCCTATGAGGGGGATGGGCATCATAATGTACACAACCTTCCTTGCCTCCCTGTTGGTATACATCCAATATGTACGTGGTCTGTGTTAGTAATTTTTTTTTTTTTCCCAACAAGTCGGTCATCTCCCACCGAGGCAGGGTGACCCAAAAAAGAAAGAAAATCCCCAAAAAGAAAATACTTTCATCATCATTCAACACTTTCACCACACTCACATATTATCTCTGTTTTTGCAGAGGTGCTCAAAACACAACAGTTTAGAAGCATACACATATAAAGATACACAACATATCCCTCTAAACTGCCAATATCCCAAACCCCTCCTTTAAAGTGCAGGCATTGTACTTCCCATTTCCAGGACTCAAGTCCGACTATATGAAAATAACCGGTTTCCCTGAATCCCTTCACTAAATATTACCCTGCTCACACTCCAACAGATCGTCAGGTCCCAAGTACCATTTGTCTCCATTCACTCCTATCTAACACGCTCACGCACGCTTGCTGGAAGTCCAAGCCCCTCGCCCACAAAACCTCCTTTACCCCCTCTCTTCAACCCTTTCGAGGACGACCCCTACCCCGCCTTCCTTCCCCTATAGATTTATATGCTTTCCATGTCATTCTACTTTGATCCATTCTCTCTAAATGACCAAACTTATTTTTTATCTTTTCATTATTCCATCTCGTCTTGATGGTAACCATAGCACCCAACAGGAATAAGAGTGGTTCTGGAAGTGTAAATAGAAGCATGAGCGTAAAAGTCTTGGTGCTTTGAGGAAAATTGAGATATTTGATAAGCTTAACCCTTTCAGGGTCCGTCCCGTAGATCTACGGCTTTACGTTCAGGGTCCAAACCGTAGATCTACGTCATGAGCTCAGCTCACTCTGATAAACTGTGAGTGGTAAATTTGGGCCTAGATATGAGAGAATACATCTATGTGGTATGTGTGCACCACATAAAACAAATCCTGCAGCACACTGTGTATAATGAGAGGAAAAAAAACTGAGACCGTGATTTTCGATTAAAACAGCGACTTTGCAGTGTTTTCTCGTATGTTTTTTATAGTTGTATTTGTGATTTCTTGGTCTCATTTGATAGAATGGAAGACATACCACAGAAATAGAGATAATTTTGATTGGTGTTAGCACTGGAAATGGCTTGAAACTGAGCTCAAAGTGGCGGAAATGTTAAATTTTTGCCGATGTTCAAGAGTAAACAAACGACCTCACACGTCTTATACACGCCAGCTGGTGGGTCTAATATACATTCACAAATGTGGTGATGATATTTATACAATTATTACAATATTGCATAACAGTAAATCTTCTATTTTTTGGTGTGAATAAAAATTCATTATGTGAATAAAAATTCAAAATGGAATTTATTTGTAAAGCCTCAAAACATAACTAATGAACAGAGGAAATGTTAGTTTAGTGCCAGGAATACCTACATTGTTTATTCTGGACCCTATTTTGAAATTGGAATATTTTGAACTTTGTGTTAAATTGGCCAAATTACCAATTTCCGGTCACTTTATTTTGTAGTTGAAATGGTTGACTTGGCGATTTCTTGTGCTCAATCAATAGAATAGAAGTAATACTAGTGAAATAGCTAGGAATTTGGTCGACTGGAATAATGTAATTGGCCTAAAATGGGAGTCAAAGTCGGCAAAATCGCCGATTCGTAAATATCGTTGACACATCAAAATTCACGAGAGCATAATTTCGTCAATTTTCCATCAAATTTCGTACGTTTTGTTTTATTACCTTCACAAAAAGATTCTCTACCATTTCATAAGAAAAAATAACAATTTTTTTTTTTTGAAAATTCTTGGACACTGGGGCACCACTTCAGATTTTGGCCTTGGACCCTGAAAGGGTTAAGGTTGATACACGTGATGGTGACGGCATGAGCCTGTGGCTTGAATAAGGCATCAATTTGCACATTTAGAAAAAGTGAGGTAAAGATGCAAGCTTGTGCAAAGAATAACCCGGGTTATGACCTTAAAAGAGTGACAAATAAGTCATAACAGCTATATAATATGGAAAGTTATTGAGTGAGTGAACTGATCAAAAAACCAAGAAAGATTCACCATTTAAGTCATCTTAAAGGTAAAAAACCTTAAGAGTACATACTATAAAACAGTGCATGATGAGGAAGGAAGAGCTGCACAACTGCTTATTTAATACAAGTTGGTTAAACAATTTCAAATTATGCAGTCAGTTGCATAATATTAAATTTCCTGGCAGAAGTGCTTCTGTTGACTACACTCCTGCAGGGAATTTTCCTGCTGAATTACAGGAAATGATTTCTTAGGGGTGGCTGGGAGCCACACCAAGTGTTTAATGCTAATAACAACAGTCTTATTTTCATATAGTCAGACTTGAGTCCTGGAAATGGGAAGTAGAATGCCTGCACTTTAAAGGAGGGGTTTGGGATATTGGCAGTTTGGAGGGATATGTTGTGTATCTTTATATGTGTATGCTTCTAGACTGTTGTATTCTGAGCACCTCTGCAAAAACAGTGATAATGTGCGAGTGTGGTGAAAGTGTTGAATGATGATGAAAGTATTTTCTTTTTGGAGATTTTCTTTCTTTTTTTGGGTCACCCTGCCTCGGTGGGAGACGGCCGACTTGTTAAAAAAAAAAAACAAAAAAAAAACAACAGTCTTTGGAAGGTACAGATAAAACCACATTACTAGTTATTTGGAGGTCAAACCAGTCAGTATGGATGACAGATAAATTATTTTTTGACTGGTTTAAGCATTATTTTATTCCTCCTCCAGCACTCAAATCCGGCAAACTGGTTTCCCTGAATCCCTTCATAATGTTACTTTGCTCGCACTCCAACGGCATGTCAAATCATAAAAATCATTTGTCTCCACTTGCTTCTATCTAACACACTTACACATACACACTTGCAGGAAGTCCAAGCCCTGAACAGTCATCATTGAATTTTCTTTCTTTCAACACACCGGCCGTATCCCACCAAGGCAGGGTGGCCCAAAAAGAAAAACTAAAGTTTCTCTTTTAAATTTAGTAATTTATACGGGAGAAGGGGTTACTAGCCCCTTGCTCCCGGCATTTTAGTCGCCTCTTACAACACGCATGGCTTACGGAGGAAGAATTCTGTTCCACTTCCCCATGGAGATAAGAGGAAATAAACAAGAACAAGAACTAGAAAGAAAATAGAAGAATACCCAGAGGGGTGTGTGTATATATATGCTTGTACATGTATGTGTAGTGTGACCTAAGTGCAAGTAGAAGTAGCAAGACATAACTGAAATCTTGCATGTTTATGAGACAGACAAAAGACACCAGCAATCCTACCATCTTGTAAAACAATTACAGGTTTTTGTTGTACACTCACTTGGCAGGACGGTAGTACCTCCCTGGGTGGTTGCTGTCTACCAACCTACTACCTAGGTCATCATTGAAATATCCAATTTTTTTTTCTGACATTGTGACTTTCTCATGCCCAGATTTCTTTTTATTCTGGCCATTATTTCTTAGAAATATCAATATTAATCAGATTAGAGTGATATATTATAGAGATGTTGTCTCATAAATACAACATGAATCTGGAAATGAAAAAAAAATCATAAATACTTACACTTTATTGTGGTTTCTACTTTTGTGGAGAAAGAGTGGGGATGATTTTTTTTTTATTTTCCCAAAGAGATGGAGGAAAAGATAAAGGATTCTGTAGAAAGCACAGTATGGTATAGAGGGGCTGTAGCTGCCAAGTCAAAGATATATTGCCTGGAAGAGGATCTAAGGGAGAAAGAAGGGAACTGGAAGAGATAAAGGAATGGTGGAATGCAACAGGGGTAGGGTCTCTAGGAGCATAACCTCCAAATTTATAGGCACATCTGTACACGTGAATTTGTGAATGTTTATTTTGTATTAAATTTTTATTATTATTATTATAATTACTATTATTATTTTGATTATTCTGATTTCATTACTTAAAAGCAACTTTATGGAGTTTGAGAAGTTTCTGCATGAATCTTCATAGAATATTGTAAATACATTTTTTTTTTTTTTTTTTTATAGGTAGTAGGTTGGTAGACAGCAACCACCCAGGGAAGTACTACCGTCCTGCCAGATGACTGTGAAACAAAAACCTGTAACTGTTTTGCATGATGGTAGGATTGCTGGTTTCTTTTTCTGTCTCATAAACACGCTAAGATAACAGGGATATCTTGCTACTCCTACTTACACTTTGGTCACACTTCACAGACACGCACATGCATATATATATATACATACATCTAGGTTTTTCTCCTTTTTCTAAATAGCTCTTGTTCTTTTTTATTTCTTCTATTGTCCATGGGGAAGTGGAAAAGAATCTTTCCTCCGTAAGCCATGCGTGTCGTATGAGGCGACTAAAATGCCGGGAGCAATGGGCTAGTAACCCCTTCTCCTGTATACAATTACTAAAAAAGAGAAGAAGAAAAACTTTATAAAACTGGGTTGCTTAAATGTGCGTGGATGTAGTGCGGATGACAAGAAACAGATGATTGCTGATGTTATGAATGAAAAGAAGTTGGATGTCCTGGCCCTAAGCGAAACAAAGCTGAAGGGGGTAGGAGAGTTTCAGTGGGGGGAAATAAATGGGATTAAATCTGGAGTATCTGAGAGAGTTAGAGCAAAGGAAGGGGTAGCAGTAATGTTAAATGATCAGTTATGGAAGGAGAAAAGAGAATATGAATGTGTAAATTCAAGAATTATGTGGATTAAAGTAAAGGTTGGATGCGAGAAGTGGGTCATAATAAGCGTGTATGCACCTGGAGAAGAGAGGAATGCAGAGGAGAGAGAGAGATTTTGGGAGATGTTAAGTGAATGTATAGGAGCCTTTGAACCAAGTGAGAGAGTAATTGTGGTAGGGGACTTGAATGCTAAAGTAGGAGAAACTTTTAGAGAGGGTGTGGTAGGTAAGTTTGGGGTGCCAGGTGTAAATGATAATGGGAGCCTTTGATTGAACTTTGTATAGAAAGGGGTTTAGTTATAGGTAATACATATTTTAAGAAAAAGAGGATAAATAAGTATACACGATATGATGTAGGGCGAAATGACAGTAGTTTGTTGGATTATGTATTGGTAGATAAAAGACTGTTGAGTAGACTTCAGGATGTACATGTTTATAGAGGGGCCACAGATATATCAGATCACTTTCTAGTTGTAGCTACACTGAGAGTAAAAGGTAGATGGGATACAAGGAGAATAGAAGCATCAGGGAAGAGAGAGGTGAAGGTTTATAAACTAAAAGAGGAGGCAGTTAGGGTAAGATATAAACAGCTATTGGAGGATAGATGGGCTAATGAGAGCATAGGCAATGGGGTCGAAGAGGTATGGGGTAGGTTTAAAAATGTAGTGTTAGAGTGTTCAGCAGAAGTTTGTGGTTACAGGAAAGTGGGTGCAGGAGGGAAGAGGAGCGATTGGTGGAATGATGATGTAAAGAGAGTAGTAAGGGAGAAAAAGTTAGCATATGAGAAGTTTTTACAAAGTAGAAGTGATGCAAGGAGGGAAGAGTATATGGAGAAAAAGAGAGAAGTTAAGAGAGTGGTGAAGCAATGTAAAAAGAGAGAAAATGAGAGAGTGGGGAGATGTTATCAACAAATTTTGTTGAAAATAAGAAAAAGTTTTGGAGTGAGATTAACAAGTTAAGAAAGCCTAGAGAACAAATGGATTTGTCAGTTAAAAATAGGAGAGGAGAGTTTTTAAAAATGGAGAGGTAGAGGTATTGGGAAGATGGAAAGGAATATTTTGAGGAATTGTTAAATGTTGATGAAGTAGGGAAGCTGTGATTTCGTGTTAGGGCAAGGAGGAATAACATCTTGTAGGAGTGAGGAAGAGCCAGTTGTGAGTGTGGGGGAAGTTCGTGAGCAGTAGGTAAAATTGAAAGGGGGTAAGGCACCCGGGGGATTGATGGGATAAAGATAGAAATGTTAAAGCAGGTGGGGATATAGTTTTGGAGTGGTTGGTGCAATTATTTAATAAATGTATGGAAGAGGGTAAGGTACCTAGGGATTGGCAGAGAGCATGCATAGTTCCTTTGTATAAAGGCAAAGGGATAAAAGAGAGTGCAAAAATTATGGGGGGATAAGTCTGTTGAGTGTACCTGGTAAAGTGTATGGTAGAGTTATAATTGAAAGAATTAAGAGTAAGACGGAGAATAGGTTTAGCAGATGAACAAGGAGGCTTTAGGAAAGGTAGGGGGTGTGTGGACCAGGTGTTTACAGTGAAACATATAAGTGAACAGTATTTAGATAAGGCTAAAGAGGTCTTTGTGGCATTTATGGATTTGGAAAAGGGGGTATGACAGGGTGGATAGGGGGGCAATGTGGCAGATGTTGCAAGTGTAGGTGTAGGAGGTAGGTTTCTGAAAGCAGTGAAGGGGTTTTTACGAGGATAGTGAGGGTCAAGTTAGGTTGTAGGAAAGAGGGAAATTTTTCCCGTAAAGTGGCCTTAGACAAGGATGTGTGATGTCACCGTGGTTGTTTAATATATTTATAGATGGGGTTGTAAGAGAAGTAAATGCGAGGGTCTTGGCAAGAGGGTGGAGTTAAAAGATAAAGAATCACACACAAAGTGGGGTTGTCACAGTGCTCTTTGCCGATGACACTGTGCTCTTGGGAGATTTGAAGAGAAGTTGCAGAGATTGGGGGATGAATTGGTAGGGTGTGCAAAAGAAGAAAATTAAAGGTGAATACAGGAAAGAGTAAGGTTATGAGGATAACAAAAAGATTAGGTGATGAAAGATTGAATATCAGATTGGAGGGAGAGAGTATGGAGGAGGTGAACGTATTCAGATATTTGGGAGTGGACGTGTCAGCGGATGGGTCTATGAAAGATGAGGTGAATCATAGAATTGATGAGGGAAAAAGAGTGAGTGGTGCACTTAGGAGTCTGTGGAGACAAAGAACTTTGTCCTTGGAGGCAAAGAGGGGAATGTATGAGAGTATAGTTTTACCAACGCTCTTATATGGGTGTGAAGCGTGGGTGATGAATGTTGCAGCGAGGAGAAGGCTGGAGGCAGTGGAGATGTCATGTCTGAGGGCAATGTGTGGTGTGAATATAATGCAGAGAATTCGTAGTTTGGAAGTTAGGAGGAGGTGCGGGATTACCAAAACTGTTGTCCAGAGGGCTGAGGAAGGGTTGTTGAGGTGGTTCGGACATGTAGAGAGAATGGAGCGAAACAGAATGACTTCAAGAGTGTATCAGTCTGTAGTGGAAGGAAGGCGGGGTAGGGGTCGGCCTAGGAAGGGTTGGAGGGAGGGGGTAAAGGAGGTTTTGTGTGCGAGGGGCTTGGACTTCCAGCAGGCATGCGTGAGCGTGTTTGATAGGAGTGAATGGAGACAAATGGTTTTTAATACTTGACGTGCTGTTGGAGTGTGAGCAAAGTAACATTTATGAAGGGATTCAGGGAAACCGGCAGGCCGGACTTGAGTCCTGGAGATGGGAAGTACAGTGCCTGCACTCTGAAGGAGGGGTGTTAATGTTGCAGTTTAAAAATTGTAGTGTAAAGCACCCTTCTGGCAAGACAGTGATGGAGTGAATGATGGTGAAAGTTTTTCTTTTTCGGGCCACCCTGCCTTGGTGGGAATCGGCCGGTGTGATAATAAAATAATAAAATAATTTTTTTTTTTTTTTTTTTTTTTTTTTTTTTTTTTTTTTTTTTTTTTTTTTTTGGAAGAAGAAGAAGAAGAATAATTGTGAGATCTTGTTATTCTTTTTGGAAGTTCTACATAAATCATATTTTAGTCTTTATAGTACAGTGAGACCACTAATTTTATATTTTGTAATTTCTAGAGCTTGCTCAGCTACGGAAGAAATTTGAGGAGGACAAGAGGAGGATAAACTTAATGAAGGAATCCAGAAAGTTCCGGCCATATTAATAACTCCATTGCAAGAATCACATTGGAAAGTTAATAAATATTCTGCCTGTGGTTTAATAATAAATTTTTAAAAAAGAGGTTTAAATTTAAACAAAGAATTGTTTTAATCTCTGTGACTGCCTCAAACTAAACATTTTATGGTAAATTGCTCCTATTCATCTTTGCAATAGTATTTAAAAATTCTTATGATAATATTTTGTAAATAAAAAATAAAGTTACATTGATTTAACTATTGTGAAATGTGTTTAAACCAAAATCTCATGATGTGAATAATTTAAGTTGAATTAATAGGCTGCTAGTTAATCTATGAATTTATATTGAGTGATTTTTACTGTAAATCAATGCAGTATTTATAAATCTTTTATTTTTTTCAATGTACATAATAATGTTGCATTTGTTTTCAATGCAGATATTTAATTAGTTATGACACTTCTAATTCAGTATTTACAAAATTTATAGTTCTTAGATTTTTAAAAGCTGACCCATACAAATTGTGAAATTTTGAAAGATCAAGTAAATTTAAGGTCCAGAAGTGGCTAGCATCATACCCTCAGATTATGGGCAGCTCTGCCTATCTGTAGTTCTACCCTCATGCCATCAGGTGCTGTAAAGACACCTATGAACTACATATCTACAGTATTTAGTTATAGCCCTTGCGGCTTAGCACTTCTTTTTGATTATAATAATAATACAGTATTTAGTTCATAGTATCTATATATAAAATACAGTGGAACCTCAAAAATCGAACTGCTCCCAACACAACCAATTATGTAAGTGTATTTTTGTAAGTGCTTTTATAAGCGTATTTTTGAGGGTCTGAAATAGACTAATCTAATTTACATTATCCTCTTCAAGGGGGGCTCCTTGGCGTGGTGAAGAGGCTCTTGGTCTGAGGAATTAGACCTGTCGGTCTCCTTCCTCAGACTGAACCTCATTACCCATCAATCCCCCGTTCCCTATCCCATCCTCCCCTTTTTCCTTTCCTCCTCCTCCTCCCCACCCCTCCCATTTGCCCTTCCTTTTTTTTTTTTTTTTTTTTTTTTTTTTTTTTTTTTTTTTTTTTTTTTTTCCCCACAGGCACGCTAGTTCCTAGGTAGGGGAAAGGGTACCAGGGTCCATCCCATTCCGTTGAGGTTCTTGGTGGTGGCGTAGTTTGCCGTGGAATCTGGATTGCCTGGGGATGTCCTGTTCCCTCTCCGGTATCCCGATGGGTGGCTTTGGGTGTCTCTCGGGCGACGGTGTATCTCTGGAAGCCACCTTTCGGATTCCGGGGGTGGTGGCCGAAGGAGGTATGCTTTGTGGCGGATTTCTGGCCACCCTCTCTTTTGTCCACCGAGGTAGCTCGGCAGATGTGAGGTTGCTATCCCGGATTGCCGGTTTACTGCCGTGATGGGTAGGGTATGGCACGGGTTCCATGCTGCATCTGCACTACTTGCGGTGCTGAGGTCCTCTTGGGCGCGGAGGGAGATTTCTGGCCCTTTCATTCCTCCTAGGAACTATCCCTCCCCGGTCCCCCCTTTTTTTATTCTTTTTTTTATTTTTATTTTCTTTTCTTTTTTTTCTTAAAAACAAAAAGAAAGAAATAACCTAACTGTGGCAGCCCTAGTCCATGAACCTGCTACCCCCGGGCCCCTTCTTGATACCGCATCCCGTTCTGACCCCGCCTCGTCTTTGGACCACTCTTCGGACACTCCTCATGCCTCTGTACCTCTTGCCGGTGCTGTTTCCTCCCCCGCTTCAGGTACTGAAGCCTCGACTGATTCCTTCGATTTATCTGACCTTTGCTCTCCTCTGACTACGCTTCCGGCCTCTCCCTCTACGGTGCGGCAATTTTCGAATCGCTGGCCCATTCCACGTCGGACCAACTCTGGTCCCACGCCTAAACGCCAACGACAATTACCTGCTGATGATACTTCTCCACCTTCTCGTTCTTCTCAGAAAGGATCGACACGTCCTTCACTACCTTTCCACGCTCAGTTTCAGACTGCACAATGGACTAAATTCTTCACTTTACGACCGACTTCCTCTACTGCCTATCTTTCTGACCACAGTATTGGCAAGGCACTCCTATGCCATGTTGGTAAAGATATTTCTTTTCATGCTCTTAAGAGCGGTACGCGCATCATCACCATACAGAATGCTACCCAGGCTCATGAGCTTTCTCGTCTTTCCCATATCGATACTGTTCCTGTCACTATTGAAAAACATCATTCCCTCAATTCTTGTAGTGGTACCGTCATTCTGCCTCATACCATAGTTCAACAAAATTTCCAGACATGTGGCACTGACATTCTTGAACAGCTGGAACTCCAAGATCTCCCAATCCTCAAGGTAGACACTTACGTTCTTCCTGCCTGCGGGCGGAGACTATACCCTAGCAATGTGGCTCGTTTAACTTTTGACTGCCGTGAACTCCCTTCCTCAGTTTATGTAGCAGAACATCGGTTACAAGTTCGAAAGGTGATCCCTACACCGCAACAGTGTAGAAATTGCTGGCGATTTGGCCATCCAGCGAAATATTGCAGATCTATCGCCGAATGCCCAGTCTGTGGTGCCGATGACCATTCTAATACGTCTTGCAATCGACCTCCCTCTTGCCTTAATTGTCATGAGGCTCACCCTTCGTACTCTCACCGTTGTCAAGTCTACTTAAACGAGCGGGAAATCCGTTACCTCAAAGAGGCAGAAGGTCTCCCTTATGCCATGGCAGTTTCTCGTCTCCGCCTCCAAGGGAGACTACCTTGTGTTTCTTATTCCCGTGTTTCAAAACGTCTCCCCACTTCTGGGATCCCATCTTCTGCAACCACCTCTGTGGTTACCTCTCCCATAGTCACTCCTGTATCTAATTCTTTTGCTGTCCTAGGCTCAGAGGTCCATACTTCAACGCCTCAGTCTGATCTCGCTTCTTCGTGTTCTCCCTCACAAGCCTCAGTAGCTATGAGATCTCGTATGACACCTCCTCCCAATCGTCCCTCTACTTCTCAAAAGTCAAAAAAAGATCCGTTAACACCTCCTACCCATCTTCCACCTCCTCATTTTACCTTCCCTGTCTCTGTACCTGGTTCTTCCCCTCTCACTGGCTCTGTTACAAGTGTAGAGGTTCACCCTCCTCCTCGTACTGTACCTTCATCCCCTGTTCCCTCCCAAGTTTCTTCCTCTTCTGCCACCTCCCAGGTTTCTGCCTCTTCTGTCCCCTTCCACGCTTCTCCAATTCCCTCCACCCTTTCGCCCCCCCCCCCCTACCTTGGTACAGTCCATTACAGTTCCAATCTTTACTCATCCTCCCCCTACCATTTCCAATATTGTCTCCCATACGACGTCTCTGAATTCCGAAACACTTGAAGCAATCTCTGAATATATTGCAGAGACCAAACCATCAATGGACACTGATCTACCCTCCGTTCCTTCTCTCTCCTCTGCTCCATCTGCGCAACTCCTTTCTTCACAGCGCACCGTTCCTTTGCTGCTTGAACGTTTTCCACTGCCTCCGCATGTGGACTTTTCTAACCCCTCTAGTCCGTAGGAACCCTTACCTGAAGATTTCAGGTATCTTTATCATTGCCAATCATGGCCTATTTACAGTGGAATATATGCGGCCTCAGGGGTAATCCGGGTGAGCTTCAGATGTTACTCTCCCAGTTTTCCCCTGTTGGTGTTTGCTTACAGGAACCAAAATTACACTCTGCTGTTATCTCTCCCATCTCAGGCTATAATTTATTGTATTCTTCAGATCCTTTTCCTGATGGTACCTTTAATGAAAGTACCCTTCTTCTACGCACTGATATTCTGTACCATCAGGTATTTGTTCGTACCTCGCCGCATTACACAGCAGCCCGTATCCACTTGCATAGGTGGTATACGCTCTGTTCTTTATATCTCTCCTTCTCGGGCATTATCTGTTCCGGATATTACCTTTCTTGTTTTGTCATTATCGCCACCGATTCTGTTACTTGGCGATTTTAATGCCCACCACTTCCTCTGGGGGGGTCTCACTGTGATTCCAGTGGCATTCAGTTAGAGGCTTTTCTTGCCACGCACCCCCTCCATGTTTTAAATACAGGTACTCACACCCATTTTGATCCTCGGACTCGCACTCTCTCTTGCATCGATCCTCAGTCTGCTCTTCCTCCGCCGCATTAGACTTCACTTGGTCTGTTCTCCCGGACTTACATGACAGCGATCATTTCCCAATTATTCTTACTTCCCCTTCATATTCACCACCTTTTCGCATCTCACGCTGGCAATTTGATCAGGCAAATTGGAACCTTTACTCAAACCTAACTGTTTTTAGAGAGGTTCCTTCGTCCTCCATCGATGAGCTTTTACACCTCTTCTCATCCTCCTTTTTAACCGCAGCTTCTAATTGTATACCCCAAACTTCAGGCAGGCATTCACAGAAATGCGTGCCTTGGTGGTCTCCTGCTTGTGCTCGTGCAGTACGTTTGAAACGCGCTGCATGGGGCAGGTACCGGTACAATAGAACCACGGAGAGACTTCTTGATTTTAAGCAGAAGCGTGCGATCGCTCCCCGTGTCATCCATGAAGCTAAACGCACTTGCTGGCGAGATTGTCTCCACCATCACCTCTGCTTCCTCTATGAGTGCAGTCTGGAAAAAAGTACGAAAACTGAGTGGTAAATATTCTCCTGACCCAGCTCCTGTTCTGCGGGTTGCCGGTGTTGATATAGCAAACCCACTAGATGTTGCCAATGAAATTGGCAATCATCTGGTCCGTATTTCTCAGGGACTCCATCTATGCCCCTCGTTTTTTTCCTCAAAGTCTGCCAGAGAGTTAGCACCCTTGGACTTTTCTTCTCTCAGAGAAGAACAGTATAATGTGCCTTTTACACTTCAAGAACTGGAGACAACACTCTCAGCTTGCCGATTATCGGCAGCTGGGCCCGACGACATTCACATTCGTGTGCTACAACATTTACATCAGTCAGCCCTTGCGGTCCTATTACGCCTTTACAATCTTATTTGGTCACAAGGAGTTCTTCCACAGCTGTGGAAATCTGCCATTGTTCTCCCTTTCCGCAAACCAGGCACTACAGGACATGAAGCCTCCCACTATCATCCCATTGCTCTTACCAGTGCAGTTTGCAAAGTGATGGAACGCCTGGTAAATAGACGTTTAGTGTGGTATTTAGAGACACACAACACTCTCTCCACTCGTCAATATGGCTTTCGTAAGGGACGTTCTACCATAGACCCTTTACTACGCTTGGAT